GGGAGCTCATTAGAGATCACAGGGCGGTTTCAGGGCGCCAGGAGGGAGGATGCTCTCCCCCATCGGCACGCAGGGATGCCGACTCCGAGCAGATTTCCCTGGGGACCCCCATTGCCGCCGGCCGGGAATCCCTTTGGGCTAAAAATTGCCAAATTCATTTTCCTTCCATTTATGTAGAAAACTCCCAATTCACCTGTCAAATAATTAAATGGGCCGGCAGCCCAGCACCGCCTCGTCTGCTCCATTAGGAGAGTTTTACACTTTCTATATTTATCAGTGGCACCAGTGCAATTTCCTCCACCCCACCTCTTAAAACGGAGCAATTTTCTCTTTTTAACCCCATTTGCTTTTCTCATCAAGGCAGTTATTTGACACTTAAAGGGACACGATGACTTAAATTGCAGGAATTGGAGCTAGCAGCCGCTCCTCCTACCTGCGTTTCCTCCGAGCATCCAAAGAGTTTGTGCTTTACAGATGAGCAAATTGAGAAGCAGCTTGGAAAACCTCTTGAGGATCTGTCTTCTCCATCCGAAAAGATTCTTCTCCATTTTTAGCTAAGGAAATGTGAATTGCCGCTCTGCACTGGCCCATTTCCATGCCGGATCTCCACCCGGGCAAGGAGAAGCAAGCGGAGAACAGAACTTTTGGACCAAGCTGGGCAGCCTCAGCTCCCCAACGTTATGATAGGGGATATCGTTTCCTTGCAATACATCACTAGGAGCATGCATTTTCACTCCCAAAAACATCATCTTTCCGTAAATCAGAGCTATGCGAGCAGCACCCCAAAGCCATTTGCCTCAGGTCCCCTTTTGCTCCCGGCTCCCGCCGGCACGGAACAGGGATGATCAAGGGATACTGAGAGCCGGGGCGCTGCCGGAGGAAGGCAAAGTCCCCAATGAACCCGTCAAGGCGCGCTCCTCCCCGGGCTGACAGCTTTTCAAAGCCCTACAAATTGCTCGCCGGAGTGGCGTTATTCATCTCGCCCGCATCCCGGGGTGAGCCCTGCCAGCAAAGTTTGTTTTTCAGCCTCATCGGGCTTTCAGTGAGTCGAGGCAGCTCCAGCCCCTCACCCCGGTGTCGGGGCGGCAGGCCGGGGAGAAGGGCTGGACCCCTGCCACCCTCCCTGTGACGGCCTCTGTCATCGGGATGAGTGATGGATGAGCGGGCCAGGGGACAGACGGGAGACACACGCCATCCATCACCCGCTAACAGAGACCTCTGCCCCGGCCCTGCCGCTCCGGTGATGGGAAGACAGAAGCTTTTATCCACCATCATCGCTCAGCGAGATGGGGCACATCGCGAGGGCATCTGCATCCCGCCGCAAGCATCCTTGCCCTGCCCCTGCAGCCCCTCTCCCCCTACCACGGTAGATGGACAGAAATGCAATGTCTCAGCCCAAAACCATCCTCCAGCCCCTCGGCACAGCCAGATGGATGAGCCAGGCTTGCAAATGGGTCTGGGTTTGATCTGAAGCATTCAGGAGAGGCCAGGGCTGGGCTCTGCTCCCCACTGAAAAGCAGCAGAGCTAGCAAACTAATTCAGTTCACAGCCTGTCATCCACATCTGACCGGTGGGGAAAGGACTCCTGAGACACCTCCTGCACGCATTAAGGAAGCCCCAGCCTGCCCCCCCCCCCAAAAAAAAGGGGCCAAAGTTGGTCCAGCTGTGGCTCAGACTCCCGCAGGTCCCTGTGCCTGAAATGCACTCGGTGCTTGAGGAGCCGCTGCTTTACTTTCTGTATCCTGCTTAAAAAAATAAAGGTGATCCTTATTCTCGGGGAACTTCTTTGCTCATCCCTGTGATTTATGTTACACCAAGTCACGCTGCACCCGTGCACGCTTTGCTGGGGAAGCTGTTTAGCTCCATGGAGAATCCAAAGGGATAAAGCACAGCGTAAGCGGGGCCAGGAGCTGTTTTGGTCCCATTTTTCAGACCTGTTGAAGCTCCACAAGTCACAGCTGGCCTTGTACGGCATGGATGGGGTGTGCTTACCATGGGAAGCACCAGCTGCCTCTCACCCAGCTGCCTGGTACCCCTGCGCTCTTGCAGCCTGGTAAACAAGCGAGACCGAGCGGGAACACAAGCTGTGTGCAAACCTATTTGTTTGATGCAGAAAGGCTGCGATTCCTTGTACCCTGACAGCAACAGATTGCTGTTTTGGGATGGGCGCCTCGCTGCCAGCTGGTCCAGGGAGACTGGAAACAAACCATCTTCTGTGGGCTTGCAACCAAGTCCAACTGCCAAGGAGATCTCCAAAAGCTGGCTCCTTCCCCCCAGCACCACACAGACCTGCTGGAAGTGAAACGGGAATGGTTCCCAGAGGAAGGGTCCGACTTCTGCTGACCTGGGGGCTGATTCCCCTTAACTGAGCCCTGTGCTCTGCTGCAAAGTCCCCAAGGATCTGGTGAGCCCAGTCCCCTCCCCTCCATCCCTGCCAGGCTAGGGGAGGAGATATCCCTGGGGCTGACAGCTCCAAGGCTCAACCTCAGCCATCCCAGCGACTGAGAGATCATCCGTGGCACATTATCGACCTGCTCGGTGCCGTGCCCAGGTCCTGGGACAATTAGGGAGCCGTCTGGCTCTGCAACACGCGCGAGGCATTTGAACAGCTAGCAGAGCCTCCCGCTTCGTGCCTAGGAATACATTATCTGCAGGTTGCGGTGAGATGAGAAAATCGTTAGCCCCGTGCCTTGGCCTTTCGGGTGGAGCTCAGCACCCATCCATCACCCCCACCATCCTGCAGATGAGATGCTGGGCACGAAGGCAGTGTCAAAGAGCCGGTACCCCGCTGGGATGCGCCTGCACGTCTTTGCCATTTGGGAAAGCAAAACAGATAGACACAATACCCCAGCATCCAGATTTCTCAGGCCACTGCTCCGAGCAGCAGCCCTGCGATGGGACCCCTCACCCCTCTGAAGTTGCCCCTCTCCATGCCCCAGCATTACTGACTCCCCAAGCTATTGACCACCCAAGTCCTGCCTGAATTTAGGAAGATATTTAGGCTCTCAAACTTCAGTTTAGGGTTCAACTTCACCATGCACTGCAGGATCAACATGTGATGCTTCGAGATGCTCAGGTTTGGACCACCGAGAGCCAAAACAGCTCCAGACTGACAAGCAACTCCCATAGCTTCAGCTTGCTCCGGGCTGCAGCATCCCAGGAGTGCTTTTGGAGATTAAAACTCCCTCCCAGCTCCACCTGGTCCATCCCCCTTTCCCATAACCCAGCACAGCTCAACCACCCTCCAACACATTTTCCGTTACTCCAGCCCTCCCCAGAGGGCGGGGCGCCAACATCCCCCCGCCTCTCAGCTTTTAATTTTTAAATAAAAACCACCCTGGCGAATACGCCGGGTGACGCCCTCCCCAGAGGGCGGGGAGCCAACATCCCCCCGCCTCTCAGCTTTTAATTTTTAAATAAAAACCACCCTGGCGAATACTTGCCGGGTGACATCAGCAGCAGGTGATTTATTGCATTCCCTCTGGGGGCCCAGGAGCAAAATTACATTTGCTAATGCCTCGCCTTACGCCCCTGGCCTGGCTCCGCACCATCCTACTCCCCATCCCAGCTGATTGCTATCGATTTCCGCAGCTCGAAAGAGTTTACATCTAGACATTTGCTGAGCAAACTCAATCAGGCCTCGCTAATAAGCATTTCTGGCCAGTAAATTTTCAGCTGATTGGGGTGGGGATAGCACATCCACTTGAAAATCAAGAGAGGCCAAGTGCTGCGAAGGGCGAGGAGTCGCTCCAGGGTCCTGAGGGTTTGCAATGCTCAGCATCCTGCCTGCAGCGCAAGGAGCAGGCAGCTGCCCTGGAGGGGGGCTGAGCAGCTCAGCAGGGCTCGAGCACCCCATAACTCCTGTGAAATACATGGATCAAGTGCTCCAGAGCCATCAGCAACACATTTATCCTGTACAAGGGAAAGAGCCGAGGCACGAAGGCGTCCTGCAGCACTGCAGCAGCAGGTAGCCCCCGTGCAGGGCACACCGCAGGGGAGAGGGATGCCAACCCAATTTTTACCCTACAGCCACACCAACGTAGTCACCAGGACCAAGAAGCACATGTCCAGCATTGAGGACATCCTTGTGACTGCACCCCGGACACAAGCCACCACCTGTGGAGTCCCTTGTCACCTCTCCACCGTGGAAGCCCTTAGCTGGGGGGGCTGAGTAAGGGCTGCCAGCCCCATCCCTGAGCCAGCAGCGTTTGCCGGTGGCCCAGAGGCTGCAGAAGACCTTGCCATCAAGCCCACCATCCCCAGCTCTCCCACCAGCTCAGCTGGAGGCCGCGAGGGACTCCCTCGAAGGAGAAGAGGGCCCAGAGGATGCCTGGGGGACGGTTGCATGAGATCAATCCTGTCTCCGGTGCTGTAATCCAGCTTTCACAAGCAATGTTTTCACAGGTGTATGAGACACCTCTGAGAGCAGCAGAGACAATGTCTTCATCAACGGACATGTTATTCTTACAGCGAGATACAGGAAATGGAGCCCCTGGGGTAAGGGTTGTCTCTTTTTCCTTTATTTAGACAGCTTTTAACATAACTAAGGGAAGAGAAATGCAGCCTCTCAGACTGCGTTAGCCCTGCCCTATGGTTTCTGCAGTTTTTAGAAGTCTAGATTTGAGCTGCAAGATGAAATATTTAAAACATGTCAGCCCCAGATGCCCACAGTCAGCATTTTAAGAGCTTCTAGGTGACACCGTCCGCTGCCTGGGAACAGCCAGCTTGCAGGGCTGCCTTTTGGTACTAGAAATGCAAAGTTTGATGTCTCATTCCCCCATCCGCACGATGGGGGAACGATCCCAGGCTGGGAACGCGATGGCCTGGGAGCAGGAGCAGCGCTGGTACGCAAGCTGAGCCGGGGACGCGGATGGAGGTGGCCATGTCCCCTTGCACCCCTCCATCTCCTCTCCAGCACCGCAAAGCTCTAACAGGAAGCTACTATGAATAATAACGTTTTGTTATTAATTTAGGATGGTGTCTTCAGCGGCTGCACTCACCTGCGCTGGTGAGGAGGCCAGATCCGGGCTGTAGCCTGGCGAGGAGAGGTGGAAGCTGCTGCGGCTCAGTGCAGCAGGGGCAGGCACCGAGGAAGAGGAGGAGGAAGGAAGCTCGTCTGCCGAGTCACCCGGGAGCTCCGGGGAGGATCTGAGTGCAGGGTCAGCCCACAGCCTCTGGGGGTAAGAGAAGGGGTTTGAAGACCCAGCTGTGGGCTCCAGCACCCCTTTCCCAGTCCCCCCATAACATCTCCCCCCACATCCCAGGGAGATCCCTCTGCATCCCAGCTCCATCCTCCAACACTTGGGCTCAGGACCTCACCCTTCAAGGGCAGAACTTTTGCAAGAAATAAAAAAAAAAGAAACCCTAAACCAGCCATAACCACCCCAACAACATTTATTTTAGACTTAGAGACCATCCCCTCCCCCGATCCCTTGGGATTGCTCCTCCACAGCCCCAACTGCCTCAGGAAAAAAAAGAAAAAGAAAAGAACAAACCTATTCTCATTTAAAAAATTATCTTATTAATCAGCTTTTTAACAGCCCAGCCCTCCCTCCATCCCTTACAGGGAGCACCTGCCCAGCTCCCAGCTGCCTCTGATGGGGACTGGCTGCTCCCAGCCCTTAAAAGAGCGGGGCAGAGGAGGGCAGAGTGATGCTGGGGAGCTTCACCCTCCCTTGGGGGGGTGGTGGGTTTTCTGCTGGAGGGGGTTGTCCTGCACCAGCCAAGAAGGTGAGGGAGATTTGGCTGGGTTAAGCAGGTGGGTTGGTGGTCCTGGTCCTAGTCTTACCGCAAGTGCTGTGGGTGAGGTCAGGGGCAAGCTGTAGGTCTTGTGCTTGGTAGGGGATGGTTAACGTTGTGTTGGACCATGCTGGGGTGGGCAGAGCCAGGTGAATGCCCCATAAAGGATCTTTTCCTACAGCTCTAAGCATGGTTTGACATGCATAACCCTCTTTACTGGCTTTGCTTGGGTGGTTGCTGTCTCACCAAGACCCTGCCTGCATCCTGAGCTTGTCCCAGCTTGCTCCTGTCCTGGACAAAGAGGGTCCCTAACTTTGGTGGCAGGCAGGGGACAGGATTCAGGCTTCTACCCAGCAATGCTAGGGAATGAGGGAGGGGAAACTGAGGCAGGGCTGTGCTATTTACCAAAGACACCCCTGAAAGCCATAGAGACCTCTCCCTTTTTGCTCTTACTCCAGCTGGTGCCTACGTGGGGCCATCTAGCTACCCTAGAGCCAAATCCTGTCCTAAGCAGACTGGTCTGCTCTTGTTTTGCTGGAGCATAAGATCTCTGGCCCCCAAATCTGGGCTCTCCTACCTCAGGGGAGCAGGCACGGCCCTCGGTGGGCAGCGAGTGGTAAGCAGACTCGGGAGTACGGAGCAAGCAGTTGGGGACAGGGATGCCCAGGGTTCGGGATGCTGAGCCTGTGCCCGCTGCTTGCTGGTCCTCCTCCTGGGTGCCGGGGGACAGTGGTGGGGGTGAAGCCAGCGTGGTGGGTGGCCGGTGCTCGTGCAGGGATGCGGTGAAGGCCAGCCGGCCGCAGTGCATCGCCGGCTGCTCGCTGCCCACCCGCAGCAAAGCCATCACTGCGCTGTAGCGGTACCAGTCCTCGTCCCTCCTGGCGGAGAGCTTCATCCGGGGCTGGTTGGTGCGGGGGTAGATGGCGAAGAAGGCTTTGCCCACCTGCCTGCTTCTCCTCATCCTCTCTGCCCGCCGGATGCGGTGAAGGCCAGCCGGCCGCAGTGCATCGCCGGCTGCTCGCTGCCCACCCGCAGCAAAGCCATCACTGCGCTGTAGCGGTACCAGTCCTCGTCCCTCCTGGCGGAGAGCTTCATCCGGGGCTGGTTGGTGCGGGGGTAGATGGCGAAGAAGGCTTTGCCCACCTGCCTGCTTCTCCTCATCCTCTCTGCCCGCCTGGGGAAGTTCAGGGCCTCGATGTGGAGCCGCACGTGGTTCTTGTTGTCATTCTTGCAGAAACCTGCTGGGGGGGGGGGGGGGGGGGAG